AAACCCCCAAAACCCCTAAGCCCCAAAACCCTAAACCCCCTAAACCCCCTAAACCCCAAAACCCCAAAACCCCAAAACCCCAAAACTCCCAAAACCCCAAAACCACCAAAACCCCAAAACCCTAAACCCCAAAGCCCTAACCCCTAAACCCCAAAACCCTAAACCCCCAAAACCCCAAAACCCTAAACCCTAAACCCTAAACCCTAAAACCCTAAACCCCCCAAAACCCCAAAGACCCTAAAACCCTAAACCCTAAACCCTGAACCCCAAAACCGCCTGAGCAGGCCCAAGACTTCTTCGAAGAGGACCTCGACCTTCCCGGAAGGGCAGAAGCGAGGGGGGCTTTGGGTTTTTTTTTTAGGGTTTAGGGTTTAGGGTTTAGGCTTTAGGGTTTAGGGTTTAGGGTTAGGGTTCTAGGGTTTGGGGTTTAGGGTTTTGGGGTTTAGGGTTTTGGGTTAGGGTTTTGGGGGTTTTGGAGGTTTAGGGTTTTGGGGTTTTGGGGTTTTGGGGTTTTGGGGGTTGTGGGTTTAGGGGTTTAGGGTTAGGGTTCTAAGGTTTGGGGTTTGGGGTTTAGGTGCTTAGGGTTGAGGGGCTTGGGGGTTAGGGTCCTAGGGTTTGGGGTTTAGGTGTTTCGGGTTTTGGGGTTTTGGGTTTTAGGGTTTAGGGTTTTAAGGCTTTGGGGTTTTAGGGCTTTGGGTTTAGGGGTTCAGGGTTAGGGTTCTAGGGTTTGGGGTTTAGGTGCTTCGGGTTTTGGTGTTTCGGGTTTTGGGGTTTTGGGTTTTAGGGTTTAGGGTTTTAGGGCTTTGGGGTTTTAGGGCTTTGGGTTTAGGGGTTTAGGGCTCCAGGGTTCTAGGGTTTGGGGTTCAGGTGTTTAGGGTTTTGGGGTTTGGGGTTTTGGGGTTTATAGGGTTGAGGGGTTTTAGGTTTAGGTGTTTAGGGTTTTGGGGTTTTGGGTTTTAGGGTTTAGGGTCTTAGGGCTTTGGGTTTAGGGCTTTAGGGGTTTAGGGTTGGGGTTTAGGGGTTCGGGCCTCAGGGCTTTAGGGCTTCGTGTATCGGGGTTGCGGGGTTTCGGTGTTTGATGGTTTAGAGTTTAGTATTAATTAGGGGCTTTGTTTTCGGGGCTCAAGAAAGCAATTTAATTTAGGCACAACTCCAAGGAACTCCCAGCGTTTACTCTAGATCCCTAGTATAGTCATTCGACTTGGGTTCCTTCACAAAAACCCTAAACCCAAAAACACTGAACCCTTAAACCCTAAACCCTACAGACCCTAAACCCTAAAACCCAATAGCCCTAAATCCCATAAGCCCTAGGCCGCTAAGTTGAAAGAAACCGACTTCAATGTTTGTTTCGGGTTCAAGCTATTGGGTTTGGGCTCTTTTGCTTCGGTGAGGCACCTCCTAACTCCTGAGCCCTCATCACGGAACCCCCAGGATCTCAGCCCCCACATCCTGTGTAGCCCAGGGTTTAGGGGTTTCATATGGGAGCCTTAATAATTAGAAGAGGGTTTTGGGGCCCATTGTACTATAATGATAAGAAGGAACCCCCAGAATAGTATTGGTAATGATTTAGGCCCCTACATTAGGGTTAAGGGTTAAGCCCTGAATCACACAACACACACCGTCTCGTTCCAAACGAGCAAAACATCGCCAGCACCCCATAAAGAGAATCGGAGCAATCAAGCGAAACAGCCCCTGACCCTCAGACTCTAAGTGGCAAGTATGTGCTAATTTATGAGCTGTAGACACCAATGCAGGTTTCCCGGAAACGGTGTCCTCAACTTCTGCACTAAACCACCATGAAGGATGCTACCATCCCTGAAGCTTTTCTGTAAGATGAACTGTTTCGGTTCAGGGTTTAGGCTTTAAGTCTGCGACTTTGGGATCCCAACATGATTGCGGATGGTTTTTGGCCTCTGCAGGCATGCTGTGCTTGGGAATTCGGGCTTTGGACAGGAACCCACCAGGTGCACCCTAAACCCTAAACCGTCGCAACCCTAATGGCCTGCTAGTGGAACCTCAACCCTCACTCTGCTTAGGGGTGAGGGCTGAGGGCCTGCAGGGAGTGTAGTTTCAAACCCTGAACGCTACGGGCTAAGGAGCTAGGGATGTAAACTTTACACTGTATTTACACAACAAGCTGAACCTTCTAGGGACGCTTGCTTGAAGGAGCCCGTTTGGGACTCCTCTAGAAGCCCCAAATTGAAATCTAAGCCCCTAGACCCGAAACCCTAAATCCTGATTCTAAACCCCAGACCCATCTGCAACCCCTAAACGTCTAATCCGAATCCCTGGTCCTTAACACTTAACCCTACATCCCAAACCGTCAACCCTGAAACTGTCTTCGGCCTTCGTCTCCATCCGCCAAATGTCCAGTGCTTTCGCACTGCCTGGCAGAGCCAAATTCTGATTCTGGGTTCAGGGCTAAGGGCTTAGGGCTTAGCATTTAGTTAAGTTACTTCCCAGAATAAGGAAACCGGTAAATTAAGCTCCATGAAACAAACCCTAAACCCTAAACCCTAAACCCTAAACCCTAAAGCACACTAGCCTACTCTAGGGGGCCGAAGCACCCTTCGGGTTTCGGGTTGAGGGTAGAAGTTGGGTATTTGGTTTAGGGTTTAGGGTTTAGGGTTTAGGGTTTAGGGTTTTTGCTCAAAAATCACCAATCCCCTCAACTAGCCGTATAGTAAATTTTTACCCCTCACGCAAGCCCATAAGCCATGAAGTCCTTGAACAACTTCTACAAATCCTTATAAAGCCCACCTTCTTAATCCTGAAGCCTACCTATAGTCTCCCTT